GCCGCAACAGCTGTAGCTAGTTAACAGCAGCGGTGACAGTAGTTAACAGCAACAGCTGTAGCTAGTTAACAGCAGCGGTGACAGTAGTTAACAGCAACAGCTGTAGCTAGTTAACAGCAGCGGTGACAGTAGTTAACAGCAACAGCTGTAGCTAGTTAACAGCAGCGGTGACAGTAGTTAACAGCAACAGCTGTAGCTAGTTAACAGCAGCGGTGGCAGTAGTTAGCAGCAACAGCTGTAGCTAGTTAACAGCAGCAGTGGCAGTAGTTAGCCGCAACAGCTGTAGCTAGTTAACAGCAGCAGTGGCAGTAGTTAGCCGCAACAGCTGTAGCTAGTTAGTTAACAGCAGCAGTGGCAGAAGTTAGCAGCAGCCGCCAGGTGGTGTTAATACCAAGCAAGAACACCCGCCAGCACACTCCACCATATCGGCAAAACCTGTGTTGTAGATAAACACGTAGAATACCAACTTGAAATAATCTTAACTCTGTGAATAAGAAGAGTACGCCGGTCGATACAGGCCCATACTCGCCGTGGAACTCCACTTTCATTGGGAATTAACGAGATGTATGACAGCTTTCAATAGCTGTACCGATCAATTAAACACGTCCCTAAGCACTTATTGATTGTCTCCTTAGTATGTATTGGAGACCCGGTTGCAGATGAGAATATACCCGGGATGTTTTGGACGCCGTTGTTGTTTGGCGTTGTCCATGTCTGCTGCTAGTGTGCACAGTTCCCGCCAGATTGAATGTTTCGTTTACTTCTGCTAGCAGTCGTCTGCCAATATAAAGAGGCCAAGTGATAGATAGGTATTGCTAGGACGCCTGTGAGGTATTCAGTACAGGGTTATTCGCAGCGGAATTGTGACTTTGGTGTCGGTTTCTGGTAAGTTGGTTGGCTGGCGACGCCTGTTGTGGAGTGTTAGATACCAGGGGCGCCTGTTGTGGATGTGTTGGATACCAGGGGCGCCTGTTGTGGATGTGTTGGATACCAGGGGCGCCTGTTGTGGATGTGTTAGATACCAGGGGCGCCTGTTGTGAATGTGTTGGATACCAGGGGCGTCTGTTGTAGATGTGTTGAATACCAGGGGTGCCTGTTGTGGATATGTTGAATACCAGGGGCGCCTGTATGTTTGGTTACTAGGGGCGCCTGTTTGTGGATGTGTTGGTTACTGGAGGCGCCTGTTGTGGATGTGTTGGTTACCAGGAGCGCCTGTTGTGGATGTGTTGGATACCATGGGCGCCTGTTGTGGATGTGTTGATTACCAGGGGGTGCCTTTTTTGGATGTGTTGGTTACCAGGGGCGCCTGTTTTTTATGTGTTGGTTACCAGAGGCGCCTGTTGTGGATGTGTTGGTTACCAGGGGGCGCCTGTTTTGGATGTGTTGGATACCAGGGGCGCCTGTTGTGGATGTGTTGATTACCAGGGGGTGCCTTTTTTGGATGTGTTGGTTACCAGGGGCGCCTGTTGTGGATGTGTTGGTTACCAGGAGCGCCTGTTGTGGATGTGTTGGATACCATGGGCGCCTGTTGTGGATGTGTTGATTACCAGGGGGTGCCTTTTTTGGATGTGTTGGTTACCAGGGGCGCCTGTTTTGGATGTGTTGGATACCAGGGGCGCCTGTTTTGGATGTGTTGGTTACCAGGGGGCGCCTGTTTTGGATGTGTTGATTACCAGGGTGGCCTGTTTTAGGTGCTGAAATACGTACTGGGGGTGGGGTGGTGATAACGAGTGAGTTACTGGTGGGGTAGGAGGCGACTGTTGTTGATACTGTGTTGGTTACTTGTTAAAAGGGACAGGCTGGTTGATGATACTGTGTGGTATTTTAATGCGTTTGATCTTTAGGGCGCCTGCTATCAATACAATTGGTCGCCTGTGTGGATCATAGGTTGTTTACCGGGGGCGCGTGGTGCAGATAATTTGTTTGATACTGATGGCACGTGTTGTGGGATCATAGGTTGGTTACCGGGTGCGCGTGGTGCAGATAATTTGTTTGATACTGATGGCACGTGTTGTGGGATCATAGGTTGGTTACCGGGGGCGCTTGTTGTTAATAATGGGGGCACCTGTTGTTGATAGTGGATGTGTTACTTTAGGTGTTGTGAATGAGTAATGTTAACGTAGCCAGCTCAGGATTCCAATTCTAATGGTAACAGTAACAGTCTGATTGTCTATCCGTCCAACCCTCCCCTGAGCATTGAATGTCGGCCCAATCTCCTGGTCACTTCTGGCATCGGACCATCAGACCGTGATGGTCTCTTTGTGCCTCCGCGCTCTTCAGTCGTTCCCACTAACTGCTTACAACATCTAGCTTGTCATGGAACACTTCAGCACCAAGTGGTGCAGAACCGGCCAGTCTATCAGCTTGCTCGTTTCCCCACACACCACCGTTACCTGGAAGAAATATGCAAAAACATTCACCACGCATACCTACTTCATTGTGTCGCTGTACTGCAATTATGTGATAGGTTACTGGACAGATTTGTAATGACGCTAGGACCGTGTAGATTCCCGCCTGCTATTTGAGTAAGATTAATTAAGTAGATCGACTGCCAAACCAAGATTGTCTTTAAAGATAAATAATTAGAAATTTTCTCCCTGTTTAGCTCCAAAAACGCAGATCTCGCCGCCTATCTGTCAACCGCAACACAACATCCCATTTGCCCAATTAGGGACGGAGGCACAAGATGAAGAAGATGATGATAATGATGAATATCGCTAATGTTAATGTTTATCATAAACATGTTTTCCCCCTGACGCAAAGAGTTACGTTACTATCGATGTTCAGTTGTATATGATGGTGCAGATATTGAGTTACTTTGCTGCTGCTGATGTCTTTCTCCGCTGTTCATGTTATTTACTCTAGTAATGTCTACTCTTGTGCCAGCTCCTTTGTTGCGTGCAGTTAGTCTTCTGCGGAAATTGAGTTTATGGCTGTTGTAGATGTCGAGTTATTTACTATTGATGTTGCATTATTGACTGTTGTAGATGTCGAGTTATTTACTATTGATGTTGCATTATTGACTGTTATAGATGTCGCGTTATTGACTGTTGTAGATGTCTAATTATTGGCTGTTGTAGATGTCCAGTTATTGGCTGTTGTAGATGTCTAATTATTGGCTGTTGTAGATGTCCAGTTATTGGCTGTTGTAGATGTCCAGTTATTGGCTGTTGTCGAAGTCCAGTTTTTGGCTGTTGTAGATTCAACATTATTGGCCCTGTAGAGTAAACTAACTGAATGGCCCTGTGTTAGGATGTCAGTATTTCAACATTGTGGCCCTTGAGTAAACTAACTGAATGGCCCTGTTTTAGGATGTCAGTATTTCAACATTGTGGCCCTTGAGTAAACTAACTGAATGGCCCTGTTTTAGGATGTCAGTATTTCAACATTATGGCCCTTGAGTAAACTAACTGAATGGCCCTGTTTTAGGATGTCAGTATTTCAACATTGTGGCCCTTGAGTAAACTAACTGTTATTTTGGCCCATTATTGGCCCTTGAGTTAGGGTTATTGGCTGTTGTAGATGTCAGTATTTCAACATTGTGGCCCTTGAGTAAACTAACTGAATGGCCCTGTTTTAGGATGTCAGTATTTCAACATTGTGGCCCTTGAGTAAACTAACTGAATGGCCCTGTTTTAGGATGTCAGTATTTCAACATTTTGGCATTGAGTAAACTAACTGAATGGCCCTGTTTTTGTAGGATGTCAGTAGGATGTCAGTATGTCAAGATGTCCAGTTATTGGCCCTTGAGATGTCTAACTGAATGGCCCTTTTAGATGTCAGTTTTCAATTGGCCTGTTAAAGATGTATGGTTATTGGATGTCAGTATGTCAACATTATTGGCCCTTGTTATAACTAACTGTCCAGTTTTGGATGTTATAGTATGTCAGTTATTGATTTGTAGATGGCCCTTATTGGCTGTTCTGATGGCCCTGGTTTAGGATGTCAGTATTTCAACATTGGCTGCCCTTGAGTAAACTAACTGAATGGCCCTGTTTTTGATGTTGCGTTATTTCAACATTGTGGCCGTTGAGTATTATTGACTATCGTAGAATGGCCCTGTGTTAGGATGTCAGTATTTAAAATCTTTCTGTAATTGACTACATACAAAAAGTAATTTCTTCATGCAAGTAAATCACAGTCTGTATTTAGTAGATCCGTTTAGATGTGTGTATTCAAAGTAGGCATGGCTTGAACTGGGTGTGAAATGTTTTATGAAGACAACTTTCCTATTTGAAGCAAAAAACATGTACAGTGAACAAAGAATTGCAAAGTCTACACACTGCTATGGAGTTGTGGATATAGATTGTGTTTCTTGGAAATACAGACGCTCTTTCCGTAAGGCCGGAAAGGTTGTTGATAGAAAAATTGAAATAAAAGAAACAACCAAGTAAATTGGGCCATGTTAAAAGGCATCAAACACCACATAGGAGAGGAAAATCGAAGACAAGCGGTTGACAGCGACACAGATGGGAGGATATCATCAAGCAGTCTCAGAGTGTTCAGTGGGAACGGGAGACATAAAGTGGTGGAGATATGTTGCAGTCTCCTTTATTGTGGAGAAATTTTGCAGTCAACCTTTACTGTGGAGATATGTTGCAGTCAACATTTATTGTGGAGATATGTTGCAGTCAACATTTATTGTTGAGATATGTTGCAGTCAACATTTATTGTAGAGATACGTTGCAGTCAGTATTTATTGTGGAGATATGTTGCCGTTAACAATTTGTGTGTGTGTGTGGAGACAGCACCTAGTTGATTGATGGCGTGAAATTATTACTTGATTTCTTGTTCATATATTTATACAAGATGTCGTTTTAAATCATTTCATTTTTTATATTTTCAGAATTGCGTTTTCGACAAGCTGTTCTTGGCTGATTAGGGTTTTTTCCCGCCTCTACTGCACCAGATGACTAGGTTAATAAAAGAAGAGAACGCCCTGGAGTGACGGGATCTGCAGTCAGGTCTCATCATAGTGAACACTAAAATTTTTTTTCGTCATGGGGAAGCTTCAAGTCGGGGGGAAACCCGACGTGAAAAGGGAGGTTGTCAGTGCATCTGCTAATCTGGAAGTGATCAGTCACGAGAGTTTTGTTAAACGTCTCGAAGGGATGAGCTCGGCCTGTTACAACTGCCACAAGGAGCGAACCCGTTCCCAGCGGAACAAGCCTGGCCGGAAAGGAAAAGCTGGTCGTCGGAACCAGCACGCCAAGGCTAACACGCCTATTGTGATACACCTGAAGGACACACTGCCTTCTACGGGCAAGAACCGACAGTCCAGTCTAGATGGAGACTCGGACGTGTCCTCGACCAAGTCCACGGATGAGGACCTGTACATGAGTAGCAGCGGCAGCAGCAGTAGTGGACAGGCGTACCGTGCGGCAACTGCCACCACCAAGGGTTCGGTTCTAGACTACCAGTTTTCTTCGGTGTACGGGGATGTTGCCTCTATCCCTGAATTTGTGCCACAGTACAGGAGTCATCACTTCCATCAGGTCTGGCCCCATACGTTGTACCACCATGCGACTGTGATCCCCTCCAGCGTGTTCTCACACCCCACGGCTGCTGCGAAGTCGTCGTACCACTCCTATCTTTCCAAGGCCGAGAAGGTGAAAGAGAAATCTAGAAAGAATTTGACAGCTTTGATCTCAGTCATAGAGAAAGCTCATATGAAGGAAGCTAAAAATATCGAGCCAAATTTAAGTCGGAATTCGACAGATGCTAAACTGAGCAATGTTCTCAACAACCTGTCGCTGTCATCACAGAACGATATCGAGGTGAAACGCAGGAACATGGCAGAGTGCCAGAACGTCGAGCTGATCTGTAACGATTTGTCCAACGCAGGTGACAAACTGGCCGAAAGCACTGACGAGTCTGATACCAGCGACAAGGCGTCAGTCGTCTCTAGCGCCGACACGCTGTCAGACGACGCCACAGACGCTGCCATATTTGATGAGGTCAAGGCTCACGAGTTCACATCTGATGAACTTCAGCAGTTGGCTGAGTACACTTTAGGGGCGCCTCTAATACGATACGATTACCCACCATCTCAGTGCCCGGAGTGTATTAACGCCTTATACTGTTACCAGTATTTTCCATACGAGAATTACCGCATATACACTGGCCCTAAACAAACAGGCCACGTATACACTGGCTCTAAACAAACAGGCCACGTCCACAACTTACGGCAATATCGCCACCCACATTTTCAGCAGCAGCGAGTGTCCAGTCGCATCGGGCAGCAGGAGAAGATACAAGCCTCCCCCAGGACATCTACCTCATCGGAATCAGATGTTTCGTCTGATGTTGAAGACTGTTCCACAACGAGCAGTTCTTCTTCTCTAAGCTCCTCCTCTTCTTCTGTTCGAAAATCCACCGCATCTGCACTGACGTCCAGTGGCAGCAAAGCCCACACAAAAGCCACACATCCACACAAGACATCTAGAAATCCACGTCCACACGCCCATAGCAGGAATCAGGACAGTCAGAACAAGAAGCCTGTAAAACGGGCCACTGCTAGCTGGAAGGCAGCCCGCCAGCTCTGGGACATCGACCTCTCCAAGTCCCATCGCCGTGCCAGTAATAACAACCGGGGCTGTATTCCCGCGGACAGTGTATACATGGACCTGACTGGCACGGACGTGTCCATTTCGGTCATGTACCACCAGCAACCTTCAGACATGACTCCAACCTGGCCGTACCCCGTCCACTCATTGTACCAAGCTGTCTACACTCCCACTCTCACCGCATCCACCCTGGATATGGGCGGCTCTCCCTGGAAGTTCACCAACCACACCATGTACCCATTCAATATTGACACCATTTCCACACACGAGCTCAAGAAATGTAAGTGCCTGTGTTGAGTTGGTTGTTGGTCGCCTGCAGATGCAATAAACCCAACCTGCATACTTCAGCGCCATTCTTTCCCGTTTGTTTATGCCATTCTGTCTGTTTGGTTTGTCACTATGGTTTTCACCTGTATGTTCTCTTTAGTGTCCCACCCCAACCCCACAAATTGCTAGCGGTTGTGGTTTCACTAGGCAGTTTTAATTTAGGAGTTTGCCGTTTCTTTCTTATGGCACTGCGCTCATACTCTTGTCAAAGTCATCTACCAAATCAATCGCTGCTGACACCACTGACTAACGTGTGCCCAGACAGAATGTAACTAAAACTGTGGGACTACTGTTACTTACACACAGACACACACACACACATACACATAGTCTCCCTCTCTTTCTGTCTCTCTCATACACACAGTCTCTCCCACACACAGTCTCTCTCACACACAGTCTCTCCCACACACAGTCTGTCTCTCTTTCTCTGATGCATTCAGTGACACAGAAGTAGGGAAGTAGTAATATCAGAGTTGCAGCAGTGGTGGTAGTAATAGATGTGGTTGTACTGTAGTAATGGTAATAGCAGATGTGGTTATACTGTAGTAGTGGTGGGAGTAGATGTTGTTATACTGTAGTAGTGGTGGGAGTAGATGTGGTTGTACTGTAGTAGTGGTGGGAGTAGATGTGGTTGTACTGTAGTAATGGTAATAGCAGATGTGGTTGTACTGTAGTAGTGGTCGGAGTAGATGTGGTTGTACTGTAGTAGTGGTGGGAGTAGATGTGGTTGTACTGTAGTAATGGTGGGAGTAGATGTGGTTGTACTGTAGTAGTGGTGGGAGTAGATGTGGTTGTACTGTAGTAATGGTGGGAGTAGATGTGGTTGTACTGTAGTAGTGGTGAGAGTAGATGTGGTTGTACTGTAGTAGTGGTGAGAGTAGATGTGGTTGTACTGTAGTAGTGGTAATAGCAGATGTGGTTGTACTGTAGTGGTGGTGGGGGTAGATGTGGTTGTACTGTAGTAGTGGTAATAGCAGATGTGGTTGTACTGTAGTGGTGGTGGGGGTAGATGTGGTTGTACTGTAGTAGTGGTGAGAGTAGATGTGGTTGTACTTTAGTAGTGGTGGGAGTAGATGTGGTTGTACTGTAGTAGTGGTGAGAGTAGATGTGGTTGTACTGTAGTAGTGGTGGGGGTAGATGTGGTTGTACTGTAGTAGTGGTGGGAGTAGATGTGGTTGTACTGTAGTAATGGTAATAGCAGATGTGGTTGTACTGTAGTAATGGTAATAGCAGATGTGGTTGTACTGTAGTAATGGTAATAGCAGATGTGGTTGTACTGTAGTAGTGGTGGGAGTAGATGTGGTTGTACTGTAGTAGTGGTGGGAGTAGATGTGGTTGTACTGTAGTAATGGTAATAGCAGATGTGGTTGTACTGTAGTAGTGGTGGGAGTAGATGTGGTTGTACTGTAGTAGTGGTGAGAGTAGATGTGGTTGTACTGTAGTAGTGGTGGGAGTAGATGTGGTTGTACTGTAGTAGTGGTGGGAGTAGATGTGGTTGTACTGTAGTAGTGGTGAGAGTAGATGTGGTTGTACTGTAGTAGTGGTGAGAGTAGATGTGGTTGTACTGTAGTAGTGGTGGGAGTAGATGTGGTTGTACTGTAGTAGTGGTGAGAGTAGATGTGGTTGTACTGTAGTAGTGGTGGGAGTAGATGTGGTTGTACTGTAGTAGTGGTGAGAGTAGATGTGGTTGTACTGTTGTAGTGGTGGGAGTAGATGTGGTTGTACTGTAGTAGTGGTGGGAGTAGATGTGGTTGTACTGTGGTAGTGGTGAGAGTAGATGTGGTTGTACTGTAGTAGTGGTGGGAGTAGATGTGGTTGTACTGTAGTAGTGGTGGGAGTAGATGTGGTTGTACTGTAGTGTTGGTAGTTGTAGGGGTTGTATATGCTGTTGTATTATAGTAGTGGTAGTAGTAGAAGTAAAGGCGAACTACACCTTTAAAGGAAAGACAAAGATAACGATAATAAATCAGGCAAATAGTACTTAATGGCACCCCACTACAAGACGTGGAGTCGTACACCTATTTGGACAGTAATGTAGATAAGGATGGAGGAACTGATAGAGATATTAAAATAAGAATACAAAAGGCAAGGAGCTTTCATAGCACTAGGGAATTCGTGGAGGTCAAAAGAAATTAAAAGAAATACTAAACTAAAATTTATTTCTTATGTAAAATCAGTACTTTTGTATGGGGCGGAAACATGGAGAACAACTAAGGCAAACGTCCGGGTTCACTCCCGGGGGTAGGCAGAAAAGCCACATTTCTCCCAGATTAGCGGTACCTATAATGGAATCAATGCCGAAGGGTTGCGATATCCATAGTTCCGAGCCAAAGGGTTTACAACTCGTGGTTTCTGGATACGAAAAAAAATAAAATAAAAGGCAAATTCTAATAAATTACAGACATTCATTAACTGGTGCCTCTGCAGAATAGAGGGAATTAAATGGTATGATAAAATAACTAATGTAGAACTTTGGGAGAGAACTAAACAGGCTCCAGTGGACCAAGAGGTGAGGAAAAGTAGCTGGCGTTGGATAGGACACACACTGAGAAAACAGGAGAACAGCATTACATGAATGTCTTTGCATTGGAAAGCATAGTGGCATAGGCATAACGGAAGGCCAAAAAACACATGGAGAAGAGAGCTGGAGATTGAAGTTAGAAAGATGGGGAGGACGTGGGGAGAGCTCCATGCAATGGCGAAGGATAGAACGACTTGGCGTGAGTTGGTTGAGGGCCTATGCTCCATTGGGGGATAGAAAGGCTGAAGAAAAATAAGTAGTAGATATGGTTATACTAGGGTAGTAGTAATAGTAGTGGTTGTGATTGTATTGTAGTGGTAGCAGAAGCAATAAGCAGTGGTGGTAGATGTGGTTGTACTGTGGTAGTGGCGTATGTTGTTGAAGTAGTGGTTGTGATTGTATTGTAGTGGTAGCAGAAGGAATAAGTAGTAGTGGTAGTAAAGGTAGTGTTAGATGTGGTTGTACTGAAGTAGTGGTAGTAGTAGATAGGGTTGTACTGTAGTAGTGGTAGTAGTAGATGTGATTCTACTGCAGTAGTAGTGATAGTAGTTGTTGTAGTGGTAATAGTAGCAGTAAGCAGTGGTGGTAATAGAGGTAATAGTAGATGTGATTGTACTATAGTAGATTTGTTGTACTGCAGTAGTAGTAATAGTAGTTGTTGTATTGTAGTGGTAGTTATTGTGTTGTGTTGGTTGCAGTAGCAATAAGATGTGGTCGTGGTAGTAGATGATATTGTACTAGAGTAGTGGTAGTAGTAGTAGTTGTTGTGATTGCAGTACAGTGGCATCAGAAGCAATATATGTGACTATACAGCAATAAAGGACAGCGTTAACGACTATTAGTGTGGCCAGTCCGCGAAATTCTTGCAAATTTGATGTCCACTTGACTCAACTGTCCTGCCCTCCTCCCTCAGACGGGGACCTCATTACTAGTCTAGTTCTCCTACAGGAACTCCCTAGCTTCAAGTAATGCCAAGAAAATGTTCACAACTAATTGGCAAGGTTCTCCCTCGGGTGTTGGGGGGGGGGGGGAGGGGGAAGAATTCAACGTGGTGACCTTGTTTTCTGAGCCCTTAGAGCAGTGGATTTCCAACCTTCTTACTGCCGCAACCCTTTACTACAGTTCCCTCATGTTGTGACGACCCGTGTGAAAGGGTTGTTCGACTCCCCCCCCCCCTTCCCCCAAAAGGGATCGCGGCCGACAGGTTGAGAACCCGCTGCTGTAGAGATTGATAGCTGGTGGGCTCTAGATGCCGTAACTTCTAAAGGAAGTTAGTTACTTCCCCTTGATGGTGTAATGTCGAGTTGTGTATTTTATTTGTTTTGATTATATTTCGTGCAAAACACAAACAATGAAATATATAGGTTTTGGGGAGACTCAGGATTGGAAAGAGTTACTGGAAATAGAAACACTGAAATATCTCGGCCAGATTGGTATTCCTGCCCTTATTTGACACTTTTTGTCGTGTTGAGGGGGGGGGGGGGCAGTGGGTCAAATAAGAGACCCATACATACAAAGATGATGGCCAACATTCTCAGTGAATAGGGACTGCTAAAGTATTTAGATATTTAGAATGGTACACAACTGTAAAAGCCAATATAGTCGGCACTGGTGGAAAATCTTAGCCAGTATTCTTGGCACAAATAAGTCACACCACAATTATAACCAATATTCCTTGCAGCAGGTTGAGCGTAGTCGGAAACCACTCACGCATCCTAAAGTCGGGAAATGTCCTATGACGACAAGGCGACCAACATAATGTTAAACACATCGCACATTAGTACACCCAAAAAAAGGGACTACCAGGACAGACTGACTGACTTTCTACCCCACCAGGACATCACACAAGCGATAAACACCCGATGACACAAAGTGCCACCATGTGGATGAGGATCACCGTGGAGAGGTCCCAGAAACCGCGTTCAGACAGTTGGCCATATTTATGGCCTGCCTGTATTGCGGCCCCTGGCAAAAGCCAGAGTGGGGCTTCAAATAACAAAAAATTACGTCCTAAAAAGGACGTCTGGATATGTTTATAATGTACGCTATCCTGACAGAATGTAAGGGTACCCTAAATATACCGAAAATAAGTCAGCAGAACCCTCGAGTCAACCGGAAATAGGGCTGTCCACGTGACAACAGCGACATCGACACGTGATGCACGATTGTGAGCAATTTAATGCAAATAGCGTTGGCGCGGGGCAGTGGTATAGATGTACACATTAACCCCGTCTGCTCACCATTGTGGCATGTGGGTAATATCGATTACACAATTTCCCCCCATCCAGCACCCAAGGTGAAGGGTATATAACCGTATAGGTTAGTAATATAATTCAGCGTTTGCTCTAGATATCTGATGTAGCTCTTATGTTAGTCGGTCGACGCCATATTTGTACTCCTCGGTAGATCTAAGTTAGCTCCCACTGGAGATA